GACTAACGGGATCGGGTGGTCAGGCTCGATGACATGGTTGACACATGTCATCGTATCCCAGTTGTGAAGATTAATGCTCATACTATTGATCACTGGATTGCCTGACCCAGACTCGATTATTTACAGACCCCGCCATATAACTAGAATATAACTGAGAGCGGCGTTAAACTAACAAACAAAGCTTATTTAACAGTGTCACCAACTTATAGTGAGGTGGTTGTAATGTCCAATAAAGGTAACACGCTATGCCTGGTGTGACGGGCTAGTATCGTGACTCCTCATTGGCAGCTTCGCTTGTATGATCCTCGGGGAGCTGAGAATGAAAACAAAGTGGTTACTAATTCATTGACCGGGCTAACAATAACACCATGTGACCGGGCTAACAATAACACCATATGACCGGGCTAACAATAACACCATGTGACCGGCCTAACAATAACACCATGTGACCGGGCTAACAATAACACCATGTGACCGGGCTAACAATAACACCATGTGACCGGGCTAACAATAACACCATGTGACCGGGCTAACAATAACACCATGTGACCGGGCTAACACTATGTGCTGTAATAACACCATGTGACGGGGCTAACAATAACACCATGTGACCGGCCTAACAATAACACCATGTGACCGGGCTAACAATAACACCATGTGACCGGGCTAACAATAACACCATGTGACCGGGCTAACAATAACACCATGTGACCGGGCTAACAATAACACCATGTGACCGGGCTAACAATAACACCATGTGACCGGCCTAACAATAACACCATGTGACCGGGCTAACAATAACACCATGTGACCGGGCTAACAATAACACCATGTGACCGGCCTAACAATAACACCATGTGACCGGGCTAACAATAACACCATGAACATTCAATTTGTCGCAATGTAACTTTAGTCCTTCCATGTGGTGGATAGGTTGGGGAGTGTGTGTCGTGTGGAGGTTTGGTCCGCGAGCCTGAGTGGAGCCGCCTTGGGTGAAGATCTCGGTGGTAGCAACAATTATCCAACCATAAAAATTATTTTACCTATACAGGAGGCCTCAGAGCCAATTGATACAGCTGAGAGAACATTGATCACAGTTTGGCGGTCATTTCTACTTCATTTACGCCGCTTTTAGCAATATTCCAGCAATATCACGGCGGGAGAAACCACAAATTGGCTTCACGCATGTGGGGAATCGAACCCGGGCCTTGGGCGTGACGAGGGAACGCTTTAACTGCTGAGCGAACCATATACGAACCAGTCACTTAATGGCAAATAATAGCAGTCACTTAATAGCATTTCCATTGGTAATATGTCGTTGTTTTATTGTTGTTGTTGTTGCTATTGTTGTTCCTTATACACAGATTGTTTAGAATTAACGTTCCGTAACAACTGGTATGTATTTAATTCAGTGATTAGAAAAAAACCTCTACAGTAAGGAATTCAGCAATAAGCATGACTAATTTCATGAAACATTTAATCACCATCTTCACAGAGGGGAACCGAATATGCTTAAAACAACGGATCACGTGACATCAAAGTCCAGTTCTTTCCTACAAGACAGGTGATTACATGAACAGAATGAAAAGATCTACAATATCCCTGCACGTACATGCTCCTTAATTATACAGCCCATGTACCGCCTCCACGAACATGACTATTTTTCCTCTTTTCTCAGTAAATGTTTAATTAATTTTGACATCAAACAATAACAGTAAAAAATGACATATAGTGTTTAACAGCACGCCCAGATACTGTTAGGATAATAAGCCATATTGTCCTGGTACTATAAATAATATCTTATTAAGTTCACTTATGCGTAGAGTATTAGCTTTGTTTGCGATTTAATAACGCCGTGACAACGCTATACTATTGAATTTAACTGCATACACACCTGAATAATTTAGAAGGTGTGCATAAAAATGAAAACATGTCGAAAATATACGGTTTTCTTGTTGAGAATTATTGAAATTCCGATTGAAATTTATTAAACAGTCGAGAATAAGAAGGCGTTCACCCATAATATTTGACGGCTGAAAATGAAACTAAAGAGGGCAGTTTTGGCTACATCGTGAATGAACATGTAAATAAATCACATAAAAATACAATTCACGACATATATGAACAAATTTGTCAGTTTTGTCAGTTTTTGCGCAGCACTATGGATGCAGGAGAAATCATGGTCTAAAATAATAGAATAGTAGTAGTCTAAAACAGAATTGTTAGTAGTATACGACTCAACGTTTCAACAAACTATATATTTAAGAAATACAGTCCGCTCTACCACCATGTATAGTGTTATAAAGTACACCTTTGCCCTCAACTATTATAGTTAACGTACGAATGACGTCAATACAGTGTGACGTCATGCAAAACGTCGGCGCCTTTGATCTTTTAGCAAAGCATCTTTTAGAAAAAGTAATATCAAAAGCTCAGATACTCATTATTAAAGACTTAAAGACTTCAAGGATAAAATTAAGTGCGCAACGAAATGTTTAGCACTTAAAATGTAACAGGTATTCTTATCATGAAAAATAAACATTTATAAGGTAAGGCAAAGCTGTTTACAAAAGGTGATTAGTTGTTGTTACAAGCGCTGATACGCCTCTGATAAATGAGTGGCAAGACCTGTTTGCCCATACGAAAGTGACATGAAGGTTAAAAGTCAATCGCTGAACAGAAAATGGGAAGTGTCGCTTAAAATTGTGTTTACCTTTACAACAATTTGCTACTCGCAAATCAAATCTGGAGAACCACTGATTTTAAGGGCTGTGTTAAAAGGACCATCTAAGAACAATCAAACACTACGTCAAACACAGATGCTTATTTTCAGCTGATCGAACAATGGCCCAATGTTAAAGACGGGAATGCTGGAGTGTTGCCCTTAAAGGAGAATCCGAACGAAAACAAAACTTTTGATATATTGTAAAGGATTTTCTAAAAGTCAACTTCCGTGATTAAAATTGAACAAAAAGTTTGTAAAATAGCAATAAAAACACCAAAAACGTACTCGTATTTCCGCCTTTTACGGAAACACCCGACAGTTAATGAGCAGAGGGGGTATCACGTGACATGACGTCATATGTGCCTGTTGCTAATGGCTGCCTCTTTGATTTCACCTCGCAACTTAACAGTGTCCATGGATTCTGAAGCAGTAAAAGGTGTTCCTGATGTCATTTCTGAAATGGATGTTAGACCGTATCAATACGATCCGATTGTACATCTTGCAAGACAATCTTCCAGTGAAGATGATGAAGAAGAATCAAACGAAACGGAGGCACCGCTTGAGTTCAAAATAAATTTAAAATATACCATATCATTTAACAAGAATACTACTTGACAGCAAAATGTGATACAGTTCCAACCAGCAAACCCACCCCTATAAGTATATGACCAGTCCCTAAGAATTTTTTGCAATGTGATTGCAGTTCCTTTTGTGTCAAATGGGTGACTGTAGGGTGTGTGGGATTTAAAAACACACTAATTATGCTTCAGACAGGGGAAAATAGAAATTATCTGCTACAAAAATTATACTGGAGTTATTTTGTTGAAAAAAAATTAGGATCCTAGTTCTCATTAATAACGTAGCAAGCCTCCACACAAAATCCCAGCCTGATCGAGCGGAGATAATATTCGCGACGCAGATAGGTTATTCCCAGAAAACTGGTGTATTATAATATACTTGTAAGGACAGTGTTTGGTTATGGAAATATTTATGGTACTCGGCCATAGCCTTAGAATGGCATCTTGTCAGCCAATGTGAACACAGAACAACTTTCACGGCACACACTACTGACAAATAGCGAGTCTGATGCCGACGTGCGCAATTGGATAAAATGGAAAACAATGAAAGCAACAAGTACTTCCTGATTTGCCGTTGTATTCGGCAATGTTTCGGATAGTCTGCAGCATTTAGGGCTCCAAACCGAAAAGAACGTCATAGCGAAACATTTTCAAGCTCATGTGGAATTGCCCCAGCTACAAAATGCCCCAGCAAATTTGGTCATTCATTCTAATTTGGTCAAATTTATTTAAAATGATTAAATATATGCCGTAAATGCATAGTTTTTGTCAACTTTGATACTATGTATCTCGTGGTAATTCTTCCTTCTTCAGCCTAGCTTTGGGATTTGTATGCCCCATGTGTGCTTGTCTCTTTCATATGCCTCCGACTCGGAATGATCCGACCATTTCCCCTGCCTAAGTCTGTCTCTTTACTTGGAAAACGGAAGAAATGGTGGCTTTCCATTGTTCGATGATTCCGTGCATCCCCAGGCAACAGAATACACCATCGTACCATTTACAAAAAATTCAGAAACGACACGATTTGTACTACTATGTAGCGCTTGGTCTTTGGCAATATGGCGGACTCCAGGCACATTTGACGTCACGAGCGGAAAGGTCACGTGGGTTCCAGCGAAATATGCATAATGGCCGAAGCTGAGATTTACAGAACCTGTTTTCGCGATTAAAACATAATTATACATATTTTTTAATTGAAAATTTTGGAATATGTTTCTGATGATTTTATATTTTACCCAGCAAATTATTGCAATTCACTCGTATTCTCCTTTAACCCTGGAAAGCTGCAGGCCCTAAGGACCAAAACCATAAAGGTTGTGGGTCCTGATCAGAATGTGTAGGCCCTATATTTTAATATGGAAATAATACTCTTACTTATTGAGGATGGAAAGCTGTCGGACATAAGGCCCTGCAGAAAACGCTGACAAATTCTGTAAAAGTATATTTGGCCCCATGTTTAAAAATACATACTTGTTGCATTGGCAGCTTAAATGTGAAAGAAAAAGTTTAATTTCTGTGAGAGTAAGTTTATCTTGTCTTGAGGCATTGAAGTGAAACACTATTGTTGTCCACGCCCTTCCTCTCTCCACCTCATTCCAGCCTTCAGCGTCTCTAGAATATTAAATGGGCGGACCCTAGTTGAGATTAAATAGCGCAGGGTGTACACGCGTAAAATACCATGGCGCGGTTGGAATTCTTAACTACCTCGTAAATAGGAGCATACTTTTCACAGCACTCCAGTTCGAATTTTTACTGCTATGCATAGTGTACGGGTACAATAGATGAACATGGGCATACACATGTGTTTCAATTCACTGGGCGCTCTCTGTCGAGAATCAGAGAGTATAACCGTGTCTAAAATTGTTGTCAATAGAAGCTGAATAGTGCGTGAGACAAGGAAGTCGAATATCTCCACAACTGTTTTGTCCCGAGTTATGTTCCACGCAGGTTGTGAATAAATATCGGCTTGACTCATACAAGTATGGCTGATAACGGTCCTGTCATAAATTTGTAATGCATCATATTTACGACTCTATGGTGGACGCGACATTGGTGATATTGTATTTCAATGTAACCCTTTCCTGTAATGGAGCTTGGGACATTGTCGTACATGAAGTGTTTATGTTGCAGCAAATTGTGGGAAATGTATGTTTACCTAGCCGATGGGATATTTATGTATCTGTACTATACCTGTTTAATTTGATGTATCCGTAATACAGGTTATCATATATATTGCATATCTATGATGTATTTGTAGGCATATTATATTATCTTTGTTGCAAATTATCATATACAATGTATTCTCACTGTAACGGATCTTCTATATTCATGTATACTGTAGTTGAATATACTGTAGTTGATAATACATGATGTATCTGTACTGAGACTAATCTTATATACTGAATGCATATCGTATCCTTGCTGTAACTTATCTATTAACACTGTAGCTGATTACATTGTAATTGATCATATATACTGTATTTATACTGAGATTGATCATATATACTGATGGGTCACCGCATCCCCACTGTAACTGATAATCGTATATACTGCAGCTGATTATACTCTGGTTGAGCATATATAATGTATCTATACTGAGACTAATCTTATGTACTGAATGTATATACTCGTGTGTCTTTGTTTATTGTGATGGATTTACATGTGAAGTGCTCCTATCCTGTCATGGATTTACATGTGAAGTGCTCCTATCCTGTCATGGATTTACATGTGAAATGCTCCTATACTGTCATGGATTTACATGTGAACGTTTCTATTCTGTATTGAATGTTCATGTGAAGTGCTCCTATACTGTCATGGATTTACATGTGAACGTTTCTATTCTGTATTGGACGTTCATGTGAAATGCTTCTATACTTAAATGGCTTTTCATGTGAACGTTCCTCTAATGTGACCTTTTGTAGTCAAATGTCATGTGAAATGCTTCTATACTGTCATGGATTTTCATGTACAATATCTATAATGTAAGCTTTTGTAACCGAATGTCGTGTGAAATGCTTAAAACTGTCATGGATTTTCATGTAAAATGCTTAAAACTGTCATGTATCTTCATGTGAAATGTTTCTATAATGTGACCTAATGTTACTGAATGCCATATGAAATGCTTCAATACTATCATGTATCTTCATGTGAAATGTTTCTATAATGTGACCTATTAATGCTGAATGCCATATGAAATGCTTCAATACTATCATGTATCTTCATGTGAAATGTTTTTATAATGTGACCTATTGTTACTGAATGCCATATGAAATGCTTCAATACTATCATGGATTTTCATGTGAAATGTTTCTATAATGTGACCTATTGTAGCCGAATGTCATATGAAATGCTTCTATACTATCACGGATTTTCGTGTGAAATGCTTCTATACAATCGTGCATTTTCATGTGAAATGCTTCTATACAATCGTGGATATTAATGTGAAATGCTTCTATACAATCGTGGATTTTCATGTGAAATGCTTCTATACAATCGTGGATTTTCATGTGATATGCTTCTATACTATCACGGATTTTCATGTGAAATGTTTCTTTGCTGTAACCAATTTTCATATGATTGAATGTTCATATAATAAACTGTAAGCATATGTCGTATATTTTTTTACATCTTTAATAATTTGAGTTATATAGCTTAAATTTAAGACCTGGACATACAGGATTTTGCTTTGAAAACAGTAGCCAAAGAATCGCTTTAATTACCCAGGACGTCCAGCATATCCAATTACCATTTAAAAAAATAATTTTTGTGCAAGTGAGCAATCCAGCTTCCTCCTCTAAAATATCAGATTTACGTCATGGGGTTATTGCTTGGTACAGCGAGGTTTTCCTGTCTATGCCTCTGATGTAGGATGATTTTAGCTACTTTTAAGACATATCACATCTGGCCAGGACCACTGTAAATTGTTAAAGCATTGCATTTTAATTCAATCACAAATTATATTTGCCTTTACCTAACAAGGAAACACGACCCTTTCCTAACAATTACCTAGGCAATTTAGAAGTTGTGAAGTACATTATGGACAAATTTTATGGATAACAACTTATGCCCTCAAAAACTATATAAAACGTCAATATGGAAAAAACTGTATGGATAATTTCTGTATATCGTGAGTGCGACGTTTCGATGCAGATTCTAGATCGTGTACCGTTGTTAAGCAGTACAAGAATCTGTATCGAAACGTCGCACTTACGACATAAAGAAGTTGTCATCCATACAGTTTGTCCATATGGACATTTTATATATTTTTCAGGGCACATGACCTGTACAGCTAATTGTTTTTTAGTATGTGATAAATCTCAAACAGAATACCCTTTTTTTTCAACATGACACCATACTCATCGGGGAATGCAAATGTGTTCTGTATGGAGGACGGTTGCCTTGAGAAATGTCAAAATGATATGTTTTGATTATGACAAGGTTGACATTGCTTTATACCTAACGTCTATCTGACATCGTATACCCTAATGTACATTTTCCGATGCCATACTGCATCACAACAAAATTAACGTGGCGTGATCGAGTGGACACAAACTCTGACATATAATCCTACTATATTTCATTAACACACAAAATTCATGATCCAATAACTTTTTACAACTATACCCAAACCCCGAACAGGTGCTTGGTATTTAAAGATGGCGGCAATTGAATACCGTGATAAATGAAGCATTATGAATCCCAAAGGGAGGTGCCCTTTACAGCAGCTCAATGGTGTGTTACAGTGACCACGTTACACAGAAAGAACACTCAGGGACATAACATTAATCATGTCCTCATCACGAAGAGGGTAGACAAATTGTCTGCTTTTGTATAAACATATCATTGCGATGTTGACAGATAAAGGTAGTATCTGTCAGGCAGGCACCGTAGTTTGGGAAGTAGGGAGGGAACTCACTTCACCACGGATCACTAACTCTGAGAGGATACAAAACACTGAAGCTGCCTGTAGATAGTGTTGGAAGAGGGATGGGTAAAGACGATCCAGGTGACAGGCATGGCCACATCAAGTGCTTATGTTACCATAAAGGCAGAGTGATTGCCCCGTATAGGCTTGTCTGCTGATTACCTATTAGTTTGTATTCACATATCTTGTACATTGTCGTTTAAGTACAAGCAGGCCAAGAGCTACCTCACATTTATTTCATCTGACATAATAGAGCCATACACTTTACCTGGGACTCCAATTACCTCGCCTAGAAAGGATTTATACCTTTTCAGGGTTCGGTGATTCTGGACCAGTTCACTGTTCGTGTTGATAACGTTTCTGGGGGTGAAAAGGACGATCAAATGTCAGTAGCATTTCTTTATATGTTGAAAGTGAGTGGGTGAGTTTAGTTTTACGCCGCACTCAGCAATATTCCAGTTATATAGCGGCGGTCTGTAAATAATAGAGTCTGGACCAGACAATCCAGTGATCAACATCATGAGCATCGTTCTACGCAATTGGGACCCGATGACATGCGTCAACCAAGTCAGCGAGCCTGGCCACCCGATCCCGTTAGTCGCCTCTTTCGACAAGCATAGTCGTCTTTGTGGCAAGCATGGGTTGGTGAAGACCTATTTTACCCCGGATCTTCACGGGTCTGGTCCAGAGGATAAAGCGTCTGTTCGGGGATAAAATGTGGGTGGTTCGATCCCCTGACAATGTCATACCAAATGACATTAGAAAGTTGGCACTTGTTGTTACCCAGCCTGGTGACCGGCATTTCGGGAAGAAAACAAGAACCGGTTTGCTCGGAGGAAACTGTACTTCCAAAGGTTTAAACATATTGTACCTCAGTGGGTTAGATCAATATGGATTACATAATCATCTTGTCAGTGGCGGTGTTAACATCTTTGATGAAGAGAAGACCACTTCAGTGTTCTAGGATAAAGGGGGCGGTGGGGTAGCCCAGTGGTTAAAGCGTTGGCCCGTCACGCCGAAGACCCGGGTTCGAATCCCCACATGGGTACAATTTGTGAAGCCCATTTCTGGTGTCCCCCGCCATGATGTTGCTGGAATATTGCTAAAAGCAGCGAAAAACCAAATTCAGTCAGTCTAGGATAAAGAGCGTCTGAATGGAGAGCCCCGTCATACAAAATACGTTGAATGATGGTAATTCTTGGTACTTGCTATTTACCCGCATGCCGCTCAGCATTAGGGGAATAAAAAAAGCACTGCTCAGCTTGAAATAAAAAGAACATGTAAAACTGGATCATGGCATCTCCATGGGTTGGATCTATTACTGTCGGAATTAGTCTGTGTTAGCCGAAGTGCGCGCGCACACGCACACACAAACACACAGACACACGCACGCATGAACGCACGCGCGCGCATGTGGATGTCTTAATATTTTAAACCACATTTCACTTGTGCGAAAATGTTAACTGACTGACTGAGTTTAGTTTTACGCCGCTTTTAGCAATATTTCAGCAACATGGCGGCGGGTGACACCAGAAATGGGCTTCATACATTGTACCCATGTGGGGAATCGAACCCGGGTCTTCGGCGTGAGGTGCGAAGTGTGTACAGTTTTTGTGTTATCTGCGAAACACTTCAGGCATTGAATAAAAATATATTTCGAGATGCAGCTTTAATTGCAGAAACATGGTGATACTGATTTCAGTGGGTTGTTTTTAACCTTACATCCTCGATTATTCTGTGTAGTTTGTTAGGATAACAGTATGAACCCCATTTCTGGTGTCCCCCGCCGTGATATCGCTGGAATATTGCTGAAACCGGCGTAAAACTAAACTCACTCACTCACTCACTGTTAGGATAAAATACATTGGACCTTCAAACCAACATAGCTTTTGTTTCAGAAATGACGTTATCGTCTCAGCTTAGTTTGGGGAAAAGTCTTGAATGATGCTGGTCTTTAAGGTTTCATTGGTGTTCGAACCACTATGTGCATTAACCGTGCCTGAACCAGTGGTTGATAGTATGAGAACCCCAAGCGTTATCGCGGTGTACGATGATAAGCAATTGGTCAAATCAACGAGCCTTCAAACCTAGTTCAGTCGCTCTTTACGACACGCACAGTTTGCTGGGGGCCAAGCTCAAGCCAAGATCCCTGAAGCGATGGGTCCAGTGAATCATGCGCAGTGAATTCATGTAAACCAGTCATAAATATCTTGAATATTTTTGACAAATTTAAATAACCGTATTTAATAGTTCAATTAATACACCGTATAACATATTGCATAATACGAGCTTCCATTCAATACGGGGGCGTGATGTGCATATATATACCCGCATACATAGAGCGCATGCACGTTCACTTAACCTTTTAAACTGTGCATCAACATAACAATGTGACAAATTTAAGATTCCAATCCTTCGAAAATTTGCATTAAAATTGTTGCATAGAAAGAGTGTCAACATTTAGAATCTATTCAACCTCGTAATATATTATCTTCGCGACAGCATCTTTCTGTATGAATCATGAAGTATAACATAAGAAAACATTTTACTCGGTGAATGAATGCCAGTTTATTCATGGCATCACTGTGATTCAGCATAGTGTTATTATGTCGGCGTCTCTTTTGAGACGTACATCAAATTGCAATTTTAGAGCAGGTGTGTAAAAAATTAACATGACTCCCAACGTTGATGTGATGTAGCTATTCTTAATGTTTTTATCTGAGAGATAACAAACTATCACAGGACAATATTGATCTTCAGTGTAAACGATCTAAGTTTGCTTAATATTGTACCAGTCGTTTTATGAATTTACTATCTGTTAGCGACATCAATATTCATGATAAATATGAAAATGATAATATTAACATACACAGCTTTGGAATAGGCCCGTATAGAGCCACAGACGCATCAGGCCAACAAACATGACCTTGTCGTTATTGAAAAGTGTAATGCACACATTAAGATTTGCTGTCCTTTTGGCACTAATGGATCCAAAACAAATATGCGGACCACGCTTTCGGAATGTCTCCAGTAGAGAATTTGTACTCCCTACTGTTCCTGGTACCCTGGTTTGTTTGTTTGGGGTTGTTGTTTTTTTCGTTTAACGCCGCTCTCAGTAATATTTCAGCTATATGGCGGCGGTCTGTATATAATCAAGTCTGGAATCCAATGATCAACAACATGAGCATCGATCTACGCAATTGGGAACCGATGACATGCGTCATATGACAAGCATGGGTTACTGAAGATCAATTCAAACCTGGATCTTCACGGATGGGGCTCTGTGCGGATGTAGAGTCTGACCAGCCAGCATCACCAGAACCCCCAATGCTGCAATTATCTATTTTAATCTGTAAAATGATAAATTATTAATAGTCCTTTTGACTTAATATTTGGGGATGCACAATAGCAACTTGTGAAAAATATGAACCCTTCCTCTTTACCAAAAGCAGCGGACATACTTAAAAACATATTTACATAACATGGGAAATATCAATATCTTGTTTACTCATGTTCTAACCGAGCTGTCACCACAAACCTTACGCAAACCAAATCTACAGTTATTTCAATACGCCATTAACTATTTCTGTTGAAAAAGCAATCAAAGATAACATTCAAAATGCAGATAATCCTTCACAAACATACAAATATGTCAAAACGAGATAAAATTTGAAAGTCTGTCAATAAGCC